AAACAGAGGTATGCGTAGGTAAATGTTGTTGGCTAAAAATAAAAGTGTTTTTATTGCATATTATAATTTCTTAGTAAATTAATTATACATATATATATATATGTAATAAACGTGAATGTGAAACTATGAACAGTAAAAATGAATAATTATATAAATATCAGGTATAGATTGTCATTACTCATTACCAATAATACACTATTGAAACGCTTCAAACTATTTGTTTAGTTAGTTAGTTATAACTTATAAGTTTAACAGCCTAAGACTGACTTTTGTTTAATTAATAATTTGAAATATATGAATAACGATAAAAATAACCGAGATTGATTAATTATATTTTTAAATAAAGAAACTATTTTCAATTTATGCGGAAGTAATTACAATTTTAAAAATGCCCGCCAATAGTGTTACAAACTATATTGGCATGTCAAAATTGTATAATTGATTAATTAATTTACGAGTTTTTCGTTTATTTCTTTAGCACATATTATCTTCAACGTAATATCGTTTTTAAAAACATACATTTTGGATACTATGATCTTTATAAATATTTTTAGATTTCAACTACTGATGTTATACAAATGTTTAATACATAGGTAGTATATGTATTAAAACATATTTAGTTCATTTTTATGATTTAATATAAATGATTTTAATTTATAAACCTTACCGTATGACGTATTTTCATCTTTCAATGATAATATACATTATGTAATTATAAATGTTCGCGACAGTGTGTAAGTATATTATAGTAGTTTTAAAATAAAAGTTGATTGTCTTTTGCCACATATATTGTTTTTTAATTTCAACTAAATTATCAGCATTATGAAAAAGGTATATTATTTTATATATATATAAGAAATATTTGAAGGTCAGCATAACAGTGCGTGATTTTTAGATTAATTTTTAATTTTTTGTAATAATAGTATGTATAATGTTTTTTTTTTCAGAATTTAATCCAAGAAACGTAAAAATGGCTGCTCATCGATGCCTATCTTTAACATCTAAATTATAGTTATTTGGTTTCAAGTAGCTAAATTACCTCGTACAATCTTAATGTGAAACCAGAATACTACAGTATGTAGTATTTTATTTACCTAGTTCTGAATTAAGTATTGAAAAAGTAAAATTTATCGTTAAGATCATTTTGTTACGTACAAATATCAACGTTATTATAAACAACATTTTATTTATACATCATTAATATCTTTATTGTATTTGTAAGTCATCGAAGCTAATTACGTACTATTATTTATTAGAGCCACTGGAGTAAATCGAAATGTACAAAGATTCTTATATTTAAACAATTTGTATAAGTGCTAAACAAATAAATAAAAGTAGTATTCTTTTAAAAACATTACTTTCAATATTATATAATTATTTATTGTCAAATTATGAGATTTAAGATTTTTGTAATAATTACTTTTAAATGCACATATATAACAATTAGTTTCTTATAGTATCAAATAGAATATGTCTATAAATTAACCTTGCATATAGTAAAAATAAGCTTTGTTTTTCAATCATTATATAATAAATAATTGATCAACTAATGGTTTAGTAGTATGCGAGTTATTAATTCATGGTTACAATTTAAATTTAATAATAAATATTATCAATTTAACTATCTTATAAGTTAAATGGAATTATTATGTAAAAAGTAAAAATAAAACTTATTGTTAACTTTTTTTCTGAGTCTTTTTCCTGGTAAATAGTATTTAATTTTAGTATTTTTAATTTATGCTACATCTATATATTGTTTTATAGGAAATTAAAGGGAATATATAATCTGCACTACACTTGCAATTTCAACTACTAAAATTTACTGAGCTTACATGAGTTATAGCACGTATAACGTTAATAAATAATATGGATTATTAATAACACGTTTAATTGAACAATGAATTATGATATTCTTTATTTTCATACATTTTATTATTAACTGAAATATTACTTTTTTATATCCAAAGTACAAATACCTACTATCTAAACCTCTAATTTTTTTTTTTTGAAATATATCTATATTAAAATTAACTTAACTGTTAAAATGATTTTTAATGCATATTAAAAAATAAGCTTATAAAATGATTAATTGATTATTTTAAAGTGGCTCAAATAAAAATTATGAAAAGGTAAAAAAAAAAATGTACAAATTAAATTATTTTTATTTATTTATTTTGTTTATTCTTTAGTTGTTTTTGGCGAAATTTACATAATTGAGTTTTTTTTACCATACACTGACACACTATTACACTCGCTTCTTGTTAAATAAATAAAATATACATTCCATTATTTATTTGTACATTAAAAATTAAAAATTAATTTTAAAATGCTTACACAAACTAACTTTTAATAAATGAGCTATAATACTATAGATTTTTAAAAGACTTGATAAGTTAAAAACTCCCTTTTAAATTTAATTTCTGAGTTTATAATTCCATGTCGGTTGTATTTAATACGCAAGCTGGTTTTATTATTATTTATTTAAATGTGTCTTAGTTATTTATTCTAAATAATCATATAATCGTATTAATACAATTCTATAAATAAGTTGTATATCAGATGATATTTATAAACCTAATATAAATTTACATACATTAGGTATGCGAATCGTTCTTATTTCAAGGTCACTTCACACTTGTGACTGCAGGTAATTATTCATTACGTAAAAGCTTATTCATTAATGTTTATTAATAATAATAAAATGGCTCAAAACCAAACCGCACTAGTCAATAAAAATATAAACATACAATATTAATGACTTAAATAATTAACGAGAAATTAAACGAACAAAAAAAATGCTTACAATTTTTCAAATTAAAGTTTTGCAACGCAGTCTTAGGTGTACATAAAAAAACCACTTGTCATAACTAACTGTTTTAAAGTGATATTCACAGAATGTTGACGATGTCCGGTTCAGTCTTCAACCAATAATGTGATTATATAGTTGCAGTTTACATATTATACAATATTTAGATATGGGTATTTGTAAGAACATATCCCTAGGTCAGTAATTCCACTCAGAAACTACACTTAAAATTCGTTATAAAATTGGCAGCTGTGATAAAGTATAGCCATTTATTATAATCTTAAACTTAAGTAAAATATTATTGAAGGTCACAATAGTGTTTACTCCTGCAACAATTAATTTTTTATATCAACAGAGGTAGGGCTAATCGTTAATAAGATATATGCAATTGAATTGTTGATCATTAAATATAAAAAAAAATAGTTTGGTTGAAATGACGTCAAAAAGCGTTATCCATAAGCAACGAAGATGTCGTCTGAATGACAGAGAAATGATTTTAATAGTAGAAAAAATCTATATTAATATTATACTTTTTATCAGTGGCCAACCAGATAGGGTGGTGGCATGAAGGGCAATGGGCCACGGGTCCATCAAGAATAAACAGAATAAATGTTATAAATCCAAAAACAAATCATCGTTATAGCGAAATGTATGATTACGATCATCTTTTAAAAAAAAAAGTATATTCTTGTAAAAGATCACGATTATATTTATAGATTATTTTATTTATTAGCCCCTCAATATTGGCGATATTATTTAATTAAAATAATTATGGAATGAAAATAACAACGAAACGCACCGCAATCGCATAGCTCGGAAAATGGAAACCAAACATGTGTATTTATATTTAGATATTAAATTAGAACTGTTCTAGGAAAAAGTAACCGCCGTCTTTACTGAATGTTCTTTTGATTTATTTTGTTATTTTAGTCAATGATGTATCGTTGATTGATTTTGCTTTCGCACTCTGTCATGATCAATGAATCGTATTTGTTTATTGCGATCATGGCGAAAGAAATACTTATTGGCCATGAAAAACGCAAATAAAGAATGGAAGAACAAAGAAAGTTATTAAAAGTATTGCCTGTTTTTTTTTTCTTCTGTACTTTCTCGTTTCTTGTGAAAATTAAAGTGAAATAATAATTAAAAGTGTTATAACACCGGAGTCAAATGTAGAACTTAGTTTTAACACTTGTGAAAAAGTGAAGTATTCGCGCCAGAAATGTTACCATACTTTTATTTAAAGGTACCTACAAATCAAAATAAATCTTTTGTAATTGTTAAAACTATTATTGAAACTTCTTGTAATAAGAAGAATATAGGATATTGTAAAGAGCTATTCCCTCACACCTTCTTCCCCCAAATTTTTAAAACTAAGGGACTTTTGGATTATTTTACAAAGGGCATTAAAAAATCGAATTATGCCACTGCTTTCTATGCAATATATATTTAATAGTATGAGTAAATAATTAAATGTTCATTTGTTCAGTTCATCTTTTCTATGGTTATTAGTGTTTTTTTTCATAATAATACTTAATGATTATACTTAGATTATCTAACATTGTATTTAATTTATAGTAAATTAAAATAGTCTTACTAGCTTAATCAAAAATAATTAATTTCCTAAATCATCTGCAAATAATATTTTTTTAGATATTAATCTTATTTATTTTATATATCAGCTGTTAATCTATATTTTATTACTAAATATTGTTCTCTGTTGTTTGTTTATATATTTTTATTTATGATTAAAAGCCAATCAGGAAGTAAGAATTCATAAAATACTCATAAATCACAAAGCTGTCGTTACTTTTTTTGTTTTAACTTATTTCGTATAATTCTTATTGAGTTATATAAAGTCTTAACACTATTTACTTGTTTGATATTATATTTATAATGAAACTTTTTATTAGCCTTGAAATTTAATTTCCTTGAATTATATTTGTTAACGTCATCGTGAGAACTAATTCGATTAAATAACAATAATTATTAAAGAATAATCAAAGCATAATTCTTAGGTACAAAAAGCTTAAAAAATCCGCAATTAAAACTGTCCTTAACGATCAAAATTTAAGCCTATATAAAAACGATAGGCAAATTATATTTATCGGTTAGTATAATAGAATACTAGGTCGTATAAATCCCATTTACACATTAATCGTAGTATTTGAAGTTACTATTTGACCGGTATACTATTTGTTCGGTAGAAATGGCAAATTCTCTGCATGTCACCATTATTATTATAGTTTATTATAGTTTATGTGTAAATAATGTTTTCTCGAAATTGAAGCCTATACGTAAGTTTTAAATTAGTGTAAAATAAATAAAAAAAATAATTTTACAAAATACATGGATTATTATTACTTACATTTGTTTTATATTGATGGATTTAATCTGACATAGTTCGATTACATTTTTTTAAGGTACCTTTTTCACGTTTAATTAATTCAAGATTTACATTATTTTTCATTTTATCTACCTTCATGATATGTTAATTAATAGTTTACACATTTCAAAATTATTTACTTTATAATATTTTGTTTGCGCAATATCCTTTGTTGTAACTTAAAATGTAATAAAAACTTTTAAGTACTACGAAGTTCGTCGTACAAATGTATTAACATATCGACATTTGAATAATTACATTAATTTAAGTAACAACGTTTTTTTGATTATTCGTTATCTTGGATATCTTATTTTATAAGGCACCTTTGCTAGTGTGGCATACTGAATATTTTTGCTAATTCTCAGATTAATAAGCCATTTTTATATCTAGTAATTTGAACATTTCTTATAATCAATGTTAAATTAGCTTATTTAATATTTAATTTATTTAATTGAAAATTATTTTATATATCTTTTTTTTCATTTATTAATTAATACTTTATTTTACAATAATATAATAAAACAATTATTAATTTTATCATAAGTAAGATATTTAGTATTTTAATTTCATTGTTTATAAATTAGTAAAAATTCATACTTTATTGTTTGTATTCTAATTTTCTCTTAAAATAGTTATTCCCTAAGTATTTAGTTTAATATACTAAAAAGTATTTAATCATAAAATGAAAAATGCTGTATACTACAATCGTTATAAATTTTTCATGTAAAATGTATCGTATAGTCATACAGTAATCAAGTGTTATTAAAAAAAAAAAAATCATTAATTTTAGCTGATTACTTACACATTTGCCGCCGCTCAAATCCGGACATTCCAAAATGTATTATAGAATCAGCATATTTTTTAAGAACTAAACTTGCAGAAGGTAAATAATTAACATTTTTATAATAATATGCTAATTTGACTATTTAGTATACTTTCTAAAAGCACCGTTGTTGAAAAAAACCGTTTACAATTCCATTTAAAATTTATTTAAGGAATTCCTGAATTTGATGTTGCCCCTATGGACCCAATGTTGATTAATACTCTTATTCCAACGAATGGAAACGGGTTGAAAATAGAGACCACCAATTTATTAGTCACTGGAACCAGTAATTTCACTATTACTCATCTTATGTAAGCAAATAATATTACACCACGCTTACTTTTGCCCTTGTCTATTGTATTTATATGAATATGAAATAGAGCTAACATTGACAAACAGGAGTATAATTTCCAAGTGAGATTTCCTCATATGCATGTATTGGGTAATTACAGCATCGATGGAAAAATCGCGAAAATGATCATCAAAGGTCGAGGAGATTTCGATTTGGATATATGTAAGTATACGTTGCGGTACTTTTTAAATACATATATTTCCTTTTTGGCAGAGTAATGTCGTATTTGGGAGTTTTTTTTAATGTTATGATTGCTTTTTGTGGAACTTCTTATTTAAAAATACTAAAATGTTTTGGATTTAAGATGGGGTGAAATGCAACGTATCGCTACTGGGAAATGTAATCAATATCGACGGTTTGAATTATATACGTTTCCATCATATATCGCTTGGAATAGCAATAAGCAGAGGCAATATAGAACTAAGAAATTTATTCGGTGGTGATAAAAACCTAGGTGAGTTTATTAAATTGGTTTTAAGATAAAGTTGTCTATTCAGTAATATGCACAACTTATAGATTGTGCAATAAAAAAATATTGAATACGTATTAAAACGTTTTAAATATTTTATTAAATCATCAAATAAAAGTACTTATTAAACTAAACGTACATAAAATATTAAGTAATCAAAACTTATTTACTTATATTATCAGTAAAAAAAGAACCTCATGATTACATAAACTGAAAAAATATAAAACGTGAAGGTATATCTATGATATAAAGAGGTATTCAATATCAATTTTATTTAACAAAATCAAAAATGAAGTATATATAACTTAAATTCTATTTATAATTAATATTTAGTATTGATTTTTTCTTAGGTGAAGTACTCAATATGGCTATAAATGCCAATTTCATTATGTTTTTTATGGAACTCAGGCCGATTATTCAAAAAGTGCTCGAAGAGTTCGTGTTAGACACTGTGGAAAAGCTTACACAGCACTTTACCTACGAACAACTGTTTCCAGATTAACAATATAAAATCACTAATATTTTGATTTTTATAAGTCTGAATAATAATGACATAAAATATTTTTAGAGTGCTAGTAAGTTGGCCATTTTTAATATGATCAAATAAATTGGTAACAATATAAATATAATATATAAAAAATACATTTTATACGAATACATACGCTAGTTAAAATTTTCTTCTTAAGTTATTAAATACACATAACAGAAAAATAAATCAAGAATAAATACATTTAATGTAAACCATTAAATATGGTATAATACCAGACACTACTCTGATACAAAAATTTCTTCAATCGGTAAACCGGTCAAAATTTGATTAATCATAGAAAGTACCATTTTACCGGCTAGTTCTTCAATCATTGGCATCGTTAGTTTCCTTAGCTCAGCTTTTTGGCTCTTGATCAAATCGTTTAATGCTCTGTCTAAACATTTAAACATCATTCACAAACGTTAGGTAATTTTGATAAATAATATTTTCATTAAAAATTAAAATTAAAAATTACTTATTAGTTATTTCACGACACTGTATTCACTTACTTAGATTTTGATCTTTCTTGAACAAATTTTGAATCGATATTGAGTAGTCTTTAAAGTCAACTTTGATGTCAATATTGTCAAATAATAAATGAGACACATTCTTCCTTTTTATCGTTTTTCCGTTCAATGTAGCTTTGACTGCAATCTCAGCTAGAATATTACCATTAGATTTATTTTAGTTAATTTGATTATATCAATAGTGATGACTGTGTTGATCTACAAGTATATCTACAATATTAAATATCGCAAACGCAATATAAACATTGGTTTTGTCAATAAGTCATATTTTTTTTTTTATTATTGGATGATTATAAGTTAGATTTTGCTTAAGAGTGAGTAGATATTTAAATTTAATAGTTATTTAATTACTGCAGAAGAATTGGAAAATAATTTGATTATTACCTTATCATAAGCTTACATGAAATATCGAGGTTTTTTTCAATTTTTGAATGCGTAATTAGCCATAAAAAAAGTAAATCATTAGCTGAATAAAATGTTTTAACTATTATTTGGGATTATTGTATTTCCTTATTAATTTTACAATTGTTTAATTAATTCAAGGTTATATATGGGTTCAAGGTTTGGTATACTAAATTACTTTGCACCAGTAATTGTATTTTTATGTAATTTGTATTTTTTACTGAATTAATTAAAAATTGATCTCGTAAATTATAAAGATTATAATTTTTGTTTAAAGTACTACTTCATGTTTTTTAAAACGGGAAAAAAATAATTTTATATATTTATTTAAGATTATTGACAACGTTTTAGATTTATTAGACTTAGGTTTTATGATAGTCATAAACCTAATATATTAAATACTTTAGTTAATAGAAAAAAATAAAAAATACATACTATAATTAATATCAAGCATTTTGTATAATTTTTGTTGTGTTTAAAAATTCAATTTAATTTTAAACCATAAAAAAACTTTAATTATTTTGTTTATTTATAATATTATATCATATTTATATAAGTTATACTACTCACAAACAATTATGGAAAATTATATTTCTGATATCTATATATAAAAATATTTAATTGAAAAAATTATTGATATAATAACATACATTCAACGTGGGAGAAAAACTACTTTTGTACTGATTGAACAATTTATTCAAACTAATAGTGAGATTTATTCCAATCACTTTATTCTAAATAGTTGAAATTTTTCTTCAATTAAAATATACTCGTAAACATAATTATATATTTTAATTTTATAAGATCTATTTTTTAAATGTAGTTATTTTGTTATTCATCGATGATAAAATACTTTTCATTCAAGAAATATTTATACCCTACCATCAATAGAAACCAAATAATTATAGCTGTTTGTTGATACAACAATCGACAATACCTAATGTATGAACATAATATCCTACATATTCTTAGCAGTGAATCCAGAGTCTTGTTTACGAGAGACTAGCGAAAATAATGAATATATTATAAACCAGAAAAAAACAAAATATACGTAAATACTATGTTTATAAAATGAATATAATAGATATACGAGTATATAAGTGAATTGTAAAAAAGTTCTGTTTTTGATTACTGAACATTTTTATTTATTTTTATTTCCAAATGTAAAAAAATATTATGCTACTCAAAATGTTAACTTAAAATCATGTGTCAGATAATTTTTTTTTTCATTTTCGGAACCATAATAATATTAGGTGGTGCTAAAAATATAAAAATAACAATTTTGAGAAAGTGTTCTACTGTTCTTGTGCGTAAATAATAATAGTAATAAACCAAACAAATGCTATACCAAAGTAGATAAACCACTTTTTAAAATTGTTGCATACAATATTGTTATTTTTTATCCTCTTAGCTAGAGGTGAGATCAATATAATAAATTATATAGAAAAGTTTTTTTAAAAATTATAACTATTTGATAACTCACTGGCGTTTATGAATACGGGTCCTGTGCTTTTAATTGGCATATTAAACATAATTAAATTTACGTCATACTCTCCTTCTATTTCAAGTTTTGGGAAAGTTAAGTCGATGAAAATTTCGTTCTTTTTAATATCCACTCTGGAAATAAGTAGATAAAATTCAATATATAAATATATATCATACGATATTATAACAACCACACACTCAGTATTGGTTACGTTTCATGTTTTTAAAGAATTATTTTAATTATTTTACGTGATTTTTTTTATGTTAATACTTACTTAACCTCGTGAATATCTAATTCAGATGAATGATGGATAATTAAATTACGTGCAAACGCCTTAGATTTATCGGATCTTTGAATCGTGCCTCCGAAAATAGAAGCACCCAATCCTTGGAATATTTTTAAATCAATTTCTTGAATGAGAAATGGTTCCAACGTGGGTATGTTAAGTTCAGGTATACCTAAATTTGAATAATATTTTTAAATTATGATTAAAAGAGGATGAAATTATAACTGTATACAGAAGCAATACAATTTAACGGATATATATATTTTTTAAACTAATTCAAGTTAAACAAATTTAACAATATTACAGTAATTAGTTTAATTACTTGTACATAATTTATATTATTAAATTAGATAAATTTTATAAACATTATAATAATCGTATTATGTTAATAATATGTTTAATCTTCAAGTAAAATTTTAAGATCTATAGTAATTTTTAATTGATTTGATTAAATTATATTACATATTTTAAATGATAATATAAGTACCTACCTGTTTTAGCGTGCTTTAAAATATCTTGCATTAAACTAGTCAAACATTGGCTTAATTTTGGGTCTGAAAGCTTGCATAGCGTCGTGTATTTAGCTAAAATCATAAATTACATAACAATGTTTAAAATCGATTAATTCAATTTATATGTATTATAAAGTATTTTATATTCTCGACATATGGAAAAAAAAATACGGGATTCTATTCAATAGATTATTTACAGAAAAAAAATAATTATGTTGATGATTTTAGTCCTATAATTGTGGACCGAAAACATATTTGATGTTTAGTTCTTTTTTCAGGTGCCAAGATAAATAATATTAAAATGCATAATATAGATGTCATTATTGAACTGACAGTTTTTCATTCGATTGTTTTGAAAAATATGTCATAAATAAAAACATTATGTAATAATATAATATGCTATGGTATTTGCATTAATAAATCGAATACTTTGCACAGATCTACGGGGAATATCACTTCGAGTAGCGCTCCTAATCATACGATCAATACCCGCACAATACAGGTATTAAAATATATTATACTAATAGTCGACATGGTGTTAAACGTAAATACATCGCTGTGTCAGCGGAGGTGTCATCGGTTTCACGAAACATTTGTTCAAAAGTTTTGATTTCCATCGAACACGTACTGATCACGAGTTCTAAATCGGCTTACAATTCGATCATTGTATAATATACATTATCAGACCCAGACCGTTCCCGCCGAATTCGCACACTTACCCAGTCTGCTGGTTTTCGCGGGCTTCCCCGCAGCCGTACAGATGATGGCCGCCAGGACTAAAGCTATTATCACGGATTTGATATTCTTCGCTTGCATGTTGATTGTGACGTTACGCTATTACGTGAACTATGTTTGTATACGAAAATGCAGCCAATAACCACGCGATTAATGACGGTCCACGGACGCGAAAAACTTACTATCCCGGGACTAATGCGGCGTCGGGAAAACAAGACTATGCGCGTCTGGGTGGATCGGAAACAACCCCGAAAACACCGGAAAACGAATCGTCGCAGAGTGTGTGTGCGTCGGGGCAGCGAGCTTATAATATCGTCTAATATAATATAATATTTTCAGTTTATAATGTATTATTACGATCTATGAGCTACCCGCGCACACGACGACACACGGCAATGCGGCAACAACGGCTTTCGATGTCGAAGTGTTGGACTGCCACCCGGTGACCGGCCATTTGAAGTGCAGAATCAGCCCGTACGCGTACGCGCGCGACTTCGACCTTGGCAATCGCGCGTCGCCGGAGACGCCGGCGTGCGAGTTCGACGAGAGCGAGAAAAAATTATACATTAAATTATAATAATAACGACCTGCAATTATCGTCGTCATCGTCGTGATACTTATTATAATAATAAAACAATTGTGCCACCCGCCCACTTGCGTGAATTACGATTATAATAATAATAATATATATATATATATAGGTACCTATGCGCACGCGTAACGTCTTAATATTATATTGTCATGTCGTCTTTGTTGTTGTTGCTAGAGTGTCGGGAAAATGTTTTTAATTTTTTTCCTCCTCGTCCGAAACTCGTAAAAGCATTTATTTCAAAATTGTGCGTTTCATCGCCAGACCATATAAATTAGGCGCGCACGAGGATGCGGCAAACCGCGCGCGTTCCGCGATCTTCCGCGTCAAAACGCGTCGGCATGACCGGCAAATGGCAATTATTATGCTCCCGAAACCGGTTGTTATAGGCGTACGTCAGTCGTATCTGCGTGCGATGTTATCAGGTATACCGGACGATGATTGTAACAATAATAATAACGATGATGATGGTAATAATAATAATAATAATAATAATAACATTGTTGTTGCGAGCTGTTGTTGTTTTCGTTCTCTGGCGGTCGGAAAATTCGCAACTGGGAAAGGACAACGCGGGTGAGGCCGGAAGGCGGTGGCGGCATTGCGAAAAATTAAAAAAAAAAAACCCATCAAACGTCAAGATTACCGCGGTATGAATATGTATACGTATTATATGTAATGGGGATATGGTACGATTCGCGATCGGTGAGGTTAGGGTTCTTGTCGGTTTATCTCACGGCACACACACGTCGACGCTCGGCAGTTACGATATAATTATTATCAATCATAATTCATAATTATTATACTACCTATCTGCAGGAGGTGTAGATTGCCATTGCCGTATTTGTTTCGTGTATAACGACCGACGCTTAATTATATATATATACATAATATTGTTGTAATAATAATGCACACGACGTCGCCGCTCACGACCAGCGCTCGGTGTATTATAAACAAATTAAATGTTTCCGCGAAACGCACGTACAGGCGGCGCACTTGCCTTGATCACTGTGTGTTTTATTCGCCGATTCGTTTTCATTACCTCCACAGATAATCGTTTTATTTACGACGTCGCGTTGTCCAATAATGATGTATTTATGTATATTATATATTTACATCGTACAAGTGCGTATGTATGACTTACAAACGATTATTATCATCTCGCGCATCACGTAGATACTGCCGATGTGTTAGATACCTATATACAGAGTGATTTACCAAATCGTCACCCTCTCCTCTTTTTTCTGCTGCTTCAATAATCCTCTTCTATAAAATCTGATTATACAATAAACGATGAGTTGCGATAAAACGGGGGGTGTTTTATTTGATAACCAGTAGTTCGTATCGCTACAGAATATTTCTTAAATATAGTAATACACTTAAATTTTTTTGTAGGTACTAAATATCTCAAGAATTTTAAAGTTTAGTCTACGAGTATGTTTTGAAGCTCTTATATAGAATCGCAATATTTAAATAAACTCATTATTAAATGAGAGATGGGGGTGAGCATGCTTGGTGAATCACCCTTGTGTCTAGTATATCTTAAAATTGCTGTCGATTAAATAATTGTCTTAACTCTTTGAAACAATGTTATTGAAAATAAAAAAAGGCAGATTGAAACACGTCATAAAGATAGATCGTGATTACTTGATCTTAAAATATGTATAGGTATTGACATCAGCGCATTGTGTTCGATTGATCGACAGCATCTTGTTTGCAGGTTGAAATGCGCGAGCGTCATTTGAACAATGTAATCTACCAATCTGATAAATATATCGATAAGTATTTACTTGTCAACTATACATCTTAAAGTATTTTTCAGATTTATAAATGTGTCTGGTTGCCTTGCATTGCATGTCTGTTGTCCAGGAGATACATAGTGTTTATTAAAAACACATCTATATTTGAAGTCTGTGACGTCAATATTACATAAATATTTGTTTACACTGAGTAGTCGTCAGATTTTTAATGATTATTTTCTTATCAATTGAAAAAAATACAATAATAACAGTGGCGTGCCTATACTTTAAAGTACCTCTAGGCAGAATTTTTTTTCACTCCTGAAGTAGAAATTATAATTTTAACACTATACCCTTTAAGTTTATATTTATTAAATTTTAATCATGATTTGTTGATTGAATACTTGAAAATCATCTGTAGCACCCCTCTCATACACGAAGATACCAAGCATATAAAATGCCCCGAGAGACTGTCTCTGTCTTACTACTACGATAGTTACGCTTGAATAACTTGATAAGTAATAATATAGATTTTACCTAAGTAATAAGTATTTTACCTAAAGGTACCCTATTCGATGAGTATAATACGCCACTGAATGGTACTACATGGTATGTACGTAATACCTACGTATATTACAATTGTTGTGTACATTATTTTATTAATAACCATTAGTTTTAATAAACTGTAATTACAAATATCTATATTTGTTCCCTTAAATTAGATTTAAAAATAAATTAGAATATTATTGTGTATTTTTTTTTTTTTAATAATATTGCTACTTTATTAACATTAAGCTAAATTAATATAAGTACTTATATATTCTATAATATTATTATGGGATAAAAACATAGGTGTAGATTATAGTAGTTCTATGGTTTATCTATGAATCAAGCTATAGTCTATAGATACTCATTAAAATATTATTCGATATGAAAAAGTTAATATATTTAAAATCTATTCAACTTTTACAGTGAAAATAACATTGACCATTAAGCGCCAATATTGCATAAAACTACACTGGGCATGAAAAAAAAACATAATTTTTCCGTATAATGACAACAAGAAATAGATTCATAAAAATAAAATTAGTTCTTTAAAAGAATAAAAATAATTATCGGATACTAAAATTTATTTTTAAATAATATTTTAAGATTTCGATTGTGAGCGTCGTCTTATTTCACCAATTACGACCTTTACATTTTTGTGAATACAATCATTAATGGAGATAATTCCAATTTCCAATCCCCCTCTCCAAATAAAATAAAATGAAATTTTGAGCTTATTTAAAAGTTATAATTTTGACGTGTTATTTTAATATAATGATTTTTGAAATAATCTTTTAGAGTTATAGATAACAATATAAATATATGTATAATAATAATAATAATAATAATAATATAATAGTTGGTTCAAAATTTGAAATAATGTAATAAAATAAATAATACTTAGTGATATTGTATTAAATATAGAGTTTAAAAAAATTATTTTTTTTTACAGTGTAGTAAAATAAAGTTTGTAATTCAATAAATACTCCAAAATTAGTACTTAACTTTAATATTATCTACTGTGGATTGATAAATCCATTGTATTATATTAAATGCTATAACTTATCATAAAAATAATATGCTATTTAAAAAAATTTAACATTTAACTATAAATTATCTAGACATAGATAATGTTAACTGAAGGTCATAAGAACTAGGCACCTAGAAAAAACATATTATATTATATTATAATAATCATACAGTGAAATTAATTTTATGTTTGAATTACTGAGTACTTTTGTATGTTAATTTGAATTACTCTCGATATTAAATCCACGTGTGGTTAAAATTTTACTATAATGAATTAGTATACCTATTACTTACAGTTTTACAAACAATTAAATTTAAAAGATTAAACTATCGTTTGGTATTTCTACACAATATCGCGGAAATTTGCTAATTTAAATTTAAACTAATTAATTTCCTATGCCGTTTTTGAGTCTGCAAAATCTTTATAAAATTATTTGAACTAAGTTTATAGTTGATGTTTAGTATGATAAAAAGTCTCATTTTAAAATAAGAAAATACAATATCCGTTTTAATATCGGTGTTTACTAGGGAAAATTGAGTAAAATATAAATAGGTGGGTTAGATGAACTAATGGTTATTATGCCTTTATAAGATTATTTGGATATGAGATCTTCGAAAAAAATTATATTGCTTTTATTGTATACACACACTTGTAGCCAGTACCTACCAATTATCTAATAATAAAAGTTGGTTTTTAACAATTAAGATTGTAGCAAAATAATATAGTAGTTATTAAAAAATGCATAGAAAGTGTTTTGCCAGTTGTCATGTAGTTAGTAGCTAAATGTGTAAATTTATTTAAGTTTTAAAACCATATTCTGAGTCATAGGTGTTACAATTGTTAGCAATGCAACAAAATAATTGAAGGTAAAATTTAATAACAATTAAAATCATTAAAATTATAATCGATTCACTTCAAATAACATTGTTTTGTTACAGAAATTGATTTTATTACATGAAGCTTAAGCTGAGTTATGCATTTTATGCTTAACATTTATCAAATTGCTTGGAAAACAGAAAAACAGAAAAGTGTATAATGATATAGAAGTAGCTTGTTTCGGTATTTATTTATTTATTTATTATTTTTTTTTTTAACATCAGCGTGTAGAGTAAATACTGTAGAACATAATATATCATAAAAAATTATTTATACAACAACAAAAATTAAATTTTATGATTCATATAATTAATACAAAGCGTCGAAATTGAAAGTTAAGCTTAAAGAATCACTTTTTATATCAATACAATTTTTTTCATTGCCTTACGCACAATACATTTATAATTGATATATTATTAATATTTTGTATGGGCATATATTATGAGCTATAATGTGCGTTTAGCCTAAAAAAATGTAAATTGATTCATGAGCATGCTTAATTCCTCCAATTTTTATTTGATAATTAATGTATTTAAATTCTGATTTTTGGAATTTTAAATACGCTTATTACAATAATTAATAACCATATTTTCAAATACTAACACTTCTTTATTGTTTAAAGAGTGATCTATGCCGTAGCCAATTATTTTTTTCCCAAAAAGAATCAG